TACCCAGCCCTACCCAGCCCACCCATCCCTCTATGTGCTCAGCCTCCCCTTCAACTCTCCTCCAACTCTCTAAACTCTAAACCCTTCTTAGTCTTTCTTCCTCTTCTTCCTCTTCCTCTTCCTCTCTTTCCCTCTTTCTTCACCCCCGTTCTCTTTCTCATTTGTTCCCCACGAATTCCCAATCAAGGGACTTGGTGTTAGTTGAATAGAAAAGATTTTTGGGATTGATTATCGAGTTAGTAATTGATTGGGATTGGAAAGCAGGGATTGGAAGGCTGGGATTGGAAGGCTAGGATTGGAGGGCTAGGATTGGAGGCTAGGATTGGAGGCTAGGATTGGAAGGCTAGGATTGGAGGCTAGGATTGGAGGCTAGGATTGGAGGCTAGGATTGAAGGAGTTGCGATTGAAAGGCTAGGATTGAAAGGCTGGGATTAGAAGGCTAGGATTGGAAGGCTGGGATTGAAGGAGCTGGGATTGGAGTAGAGTTTAGATTCATGGTACTGTATAGGATTTGATTTTGTACTTGATAAATCCATTGGTACATTACCAATCGACTGTACATTGGTACATTACCAATAATGTTGTGCTCGACTTGTACTTTTTGGTTTTGTGAAGGCAGGCTTTCTAGCTGAAAGGAGGAAGTGAGTTAGAAAGAGTGCGTTTACGAGTGAGCAGAGTTACAGTCGATCAGTCCTAGTACAAAGGACATTACCAGTACAAAGTACATTAGCAGTACAAAGTACATTAGCAGTACAAGGACATTAGCAGTACAAAGTACATTAGCAGTACAAGGACATTACCAGTACAAAGTACATTAGCAGTACAAAGTACAGTATTCTTCTCCAACTACTATCGTTGTCCAATTACTATCGTTGTCCAACTCCAAGCTCAGCTCTACCTTGTCATACTCAGCCTTCTCTCCTAAATAGCGGCTATTAACTAGCAGCTATTCAATACTATACTACAAATACTACAATTGTACAAAAGACATTTTTGTGCCAATCAATTGCTGTCAGTTCAATTGCAAGTTCGTAAAATGTCCACACATTACAATCTACAATCTAGACAGTAAATTTCCTAAGCAAAAGGTTGGTTCTTTTGTAAAGGTTCTTCTTTTGAATGGACGAATGTTTGAGTTGAGTCGGACGGGGCAAAACGATCAATATTTGAGCGTCAAAGACACACACTTTGTCCAGAAATGAACTCAAAAATGAAAGAAATGAAGTTGAAACTTCAACAATTTCTTCAAAACTTCAACAATTCACCTTCAAATCTTCTTCCTTTCATCTTCTTTTCATCTACTTTGATCTCTGTGCAAAACTATCGCCTCTAGTGCACTGAATTCTTCAATTTCTTCTGAGAACAGGCTTTAAAATGAAGAATTTCAGCTTGAAAAAAAGGCAAAGTTTAAGCAAAAGTCCAAAGAACAAGGCTTTATACTCTTTTAAACTTCTTATAAAGATCGATTTGCCTTTAAGGCTCTTGCAGTATGTAGATTGGTATTCTTGTGTCTCATCTTTCTCTTTTCCCCTCTCAAAAAAACCTGTACCAATTGGTACCCAGGCACTGGAATCCCGCCAAGGTCCAAGGTGACAATGCATCCTTTTTTTCTCTTCTTTTTCTCTAAAAAAAGTCTATTCTTGTATCCCGTTTGAACTTTGGATCAAAAAAAGAACAACTCTATGCTTATTTTGGAATATAAAGTGTTGTAGAGGGTGGAGATCAATGTTAGGACTGTATTTAGTACTGAGTACTCTGTACTCTGTACTCTTAACAGTACTCTTAACAGTAAGAGTACTCTGTACTTACAGGCTCTCTGTACTTACTTAACGGTAAGAGTACTCTGTACTTACTTAACAGTAAGAGTACTCTGTACTTACAGGCTCTCTGTACTTACTGTTACTGTGTACTGTTAAGTACTTACTGTTAAGCAAGTACAGAGAGCCTGTTAAGTACTGTAGTTGCTAGATGAATGTACTCTGTACTTACTGTTAAGTACTGTACTTGCTATTGATACTAGTCTAGTACTGAATCCGATCCACATACTTGTCCAGTACTAAATCTTGCAATCTAGCACTAGATTTGACTATGACTGGGCACGAATCAGATGGATTGATAGCCGGATTGATGGCCTAGCGCACTAACCACTTGGCCACGATGGCATCTTGTCCAGGTACAAGATCGCTTGATACTCGCGCGGTGCAAATAGCAACACGCAAAAACTACTGCTAGTACTGGACTTGATTAGACTAGACTATACTAGTACTAGACTGTACTACTGCTAGTACTAGACTAGACTAGACTATACTATTCTAGTTCTAAGCTATACTACTGCTAGTACTAGACTAGACTAGACTATACTAGTACTAAGCTATTCTAGTTCTAAGCTATACTAGTACTAGACTATACTATACTAGTACTAGACTATACTATACTAGTCCTAAGCTATACCACTGCTAGTACTAGACTATACTATACTAGTACTAGACTATACTATACTAGTCCTAAGCTATACCACTGCTAGTACTAGACTAGACTACTAGTACTAGACTATACTAGACTAGTACTAGACTAGACTAGACTAGTACTAGACTATATTAGTACCAGAATTGACTAGTACTATTCGAGAAAATGTACTTCAAGTACTTTCTAAAGTATCCCAGTGTACTAAAAATAGAGTAAAAAGTTTCTATCGAGTCCGGGCTTGAACCCTTCTACTTACTCGAGTAGGAAAGGACCGTCCTGGGGAAATGGTTGTGAGCCAAGTGCATTGGAATCCAAATATATCTAGATAACTGATTGATGGTGACCTGAGTGTCCTCAAAAAAGAACTCAAAAAAGAGCTCTGTCCTCACCCCCAGGACGGTCCTGTCCTCAGGCCAGTGCTTTGGGTGATCCCAATCTTTCACCCTTTTTCTTTCTCTCTTTTTATTTGCCCTCTTTGACCCTTCCACCCCAGCAGATGAGCCATTTTGATCAATCGCTTGCTCCTCTTTCACCCAACTCTCTTCTTTTCAAGGCCACCACCAATTTATTTATTCTTAACCTGGTTATATTGATAGATTTTCTGGTAGGAAAGGGTTTTGGTTGGACCAGTTTTGCTGAACTTTCAGTTTTGCTGGAGTTAAGCTAGTTTTGCTGGACTTTTGCCAGTTTTGCTGAACTTTCAGTTTTGCTGGAGTTAAACTGGTCAGTTGTTCAGTTCAAATGTCTAGATTAAAGCCAGATACTATTGTAACTCAGTCGTAAAGACTAGAGTAAAATCTGACAAGGGAAAGGCACCGAATCAAGCTAGTTTTTTTGACTCGAGACCAAGCCCATCTTGTAGAATCGGTCATCGCGATCTCGAATCTGTTTTTAGTTTTTGCAGAACGCTTCTCAAACGCGAGAAATTTGATGTAGAAAATCACCCTGAGTTTCTTTAAAATCGCCTTATCAGGCCGCCACAAGGTCCCTGAGCAAATGGCCATGTGGTCTAGTGGATAGTTTGCTGGTTTGCCAAGCTATCACACTCCCGCCGCCTTCCAGGTTCGAATCCCACTCATGTCAAACTTTTTGTTTGACTTTTACTTTTCTCTTATTATCTTATTCTAAACTTTGTGTATAAAGCTACAAAACTTTCCGTACATTGTAGACCTATAAGTTCTATGTCCAATAGTTCTATTCTTCTAGACCTATAAGCTCTATATTCAATAGTTCTATATTCCACAATTCTATAGCTCTAGATCTATAAGTTCTATAGTTCTAGATCCACAATTCTATAGCTCTATAGCTCTATAGTTCTACAGTTCTATAGTTCTATATCCTATAGTTCTGCCTCTATAAGCTCTACAAAATTCTCTTATCTATATCTTTTTCGATATCCGCTCCTTTTTACGCAATCGTTTTATCCGCAAAATCCGCAAAATTCCCCCCAAAAAAAGGACAATTTTCATTGCAAAATTTGAGACTTTTATAGCTGTTGCTTGGCATTATTGAAAGTTATTTGGAAAGATTAGCTTACAGTACAGCTTACAGTACAGCTTACAGTACAGCTTACAGTACAGCTTACAGTACAGCTTACAGTACAGCTTACAGTACAGCTTACAGTACAGCTTACAGTACAGCACAGTACAGCTTACAGTACAGCTTACAGTACAGCTTACAGTACAGCTTACAGTACAGCTTACAGTACAGCTTACAGTACAGCTTACAGTACAGCTTACAGTACAGCTTACAGTACAGCTTACAGTACAGCTTACAGTACAGCTTACAGTACAGCTTACAGTACAGCTTACAGTACAGCTTACAGTACAGCTTACAGTACAGCTTACAGTACAGCTTACAGTACAGCTTACAGTACAGCTTACAGTACAGCTTACAGTTTACAGTACAGGCTACTGTTTACACCAATTTCCGCATACTGTAGCGTACTGTACAGGTTACTCGCCGGAATTTCGTAAACTCTCGGCATCTAGCGCATTAGGCTTTCAAAGGGCTCTGTGCTTTGCCAGATGATGAAAGTTCACGAATTCTTAGAAGTACACTGTACACAGGAGTCTACAGTAATCTCAGGCTCGTACTGTACTGTACAGTACACAGGAATCTGTAAAGTACACAGGAATCTGTACAGTATAGAGGAATCTGTAAAGTACACAGAAATCTGTACAGTACAAAGGAATCTGTACAGTACACAGGAAACTGTAAAGTACACAGGAAACTGTAAAGTACACAGGAAACTGTAAAGTACACAGGAATCTGTACAGTACATAGTGACCTGTACGGTAATCTGTACAGTCCACAGTAGCCTGTACAGTAACCCGTACACTACACAGTGCCCTCTACAGTCTGACAGTTCCTCTATCACTTGCAGGCTTAGTGTAAACAGTAGTACACTGTAAAATGTACTGCTTACAAGTACAAACGTTAGAATTGAGCTTAAAATAATGCCACCCAACAGCTAAACCTTTCCTTACATGTTTTCAAGCAAAAATATTAGAAATTAAAGTCACAATTTGCAGGCAAGCATCGAGGCGGCTTTCGACTCGGTGAGTGATCTTTTCTCGTCGACTGTCGGTGGGATGGATCCACGAGCACTTACACAAATGCAACACGCATTGGCTGCAGCTGCCGTCCAAAGAAACTCAGTCTTGCCTCAACAATTGACCTTTCCGGTGGGTTGAGAAAAATTTGTGGCCGTTTTTTGTCGTTAATTGTCGGCTAGATGGTTTTAAAGCTTTCAAACATAAAACCTTAAAGCTAAAACTGGTTTTAACTCTTTTCTAGACTTTCTAGACTTTTTTTCTCTCTTTATTAACTCTTTTCTAATTCTAAAAGCCTAGAACAAAGGTTTTTCAACAAAATCTTTAACAATAAACTGTAGTTAGACTGTAGTATCACCCTATGGCCTGTAAGTCAAGTGGATCAGGCCACAAAATGTACCCAGAGATGTTCGAACCAGGCTAGGACCAAGCCAAACCAAGGCAGAGCTAATGTTGAGCTCAATTAGCAAAGCTCTCCAGTTGTGCCCTGCTGAATCCTAGAATTTGGAAGGCTGGCTCAGTCCAGCGTCAGGGAATCCAGGCCTTATCTAGCCTAGACCCAAGCCTAGACCCAAACCTAGACCAAAGCCTAGACCAAAGCCTAGACCCAAAGCCTAGATCCAAACCTAGACCCAAACCTAGACCCAAACCTAGACCCAAACCTAGACCAAAGCCTAGACCCAAGTCAGGTCAGTTAGACCTGCTTTACTTACCCTGGTCCTGGTCTACAGAAGCAGTTGGACTTTAGGTCAAGCTAGGCTTCCAGTGTGGCCTTGGCCTGGCCCTGGATCCGAAAAATCTGACCAGGGTAAGTAAAGCAGGTAAAGATTGAAATCTGACCTTTGGAACAGTCCTAACTGAGTTAGAGTTGTGATTTTAACTAGCTCCAGAATCTCCAGAATAGAATTGAGAATTGTGTTGGGACTAGCTCCAGAATCCTGTACAACTGTCTAGTTTCTGAGAAATTAGGTGTGTTGTCTTGGCTCTTTGAGTGGTATTCCGTGATCCTGGAAGTACCCTTTGCAATACAGAATAGTACAAAATGTATCTAAAAAAAGAAATCGCTGATTTCAGACAGCCCAATCCTCTCTGTTCTCGTTGGAGGCCCTCCAGGCGGCTCACCTTCATCCAGCCGCCGGTTTCCTCCTCTCGCCAACGGCATATCTTCTACCTGGCACACAGGTAACCATTTGAAATCCAGTACGATTGCCTGGGCCTTAAAACGAAACTTTTTCTAGCAACTGGCCTGTCATTGTATGTACAACAATGGAACTCAACCGTGCGCTGTCCACCATCCGCCGATCGCCTACGGACAAGCGTCGTCGGCTTTTCCGGTTTGTTCGTTTGTAAAAGTTGACCTCAAAAGACCTCAAAAGATCTCAAAAGTGATCTCAGTTTTCAAAAGAAGTTTTCAAAAGAGTTTAATTAGTTTTCAAAAGAAGATAAAGTCTAGAATTGGCTACATTTAAAACTGGCACTGAAAAGCTTGTCAATTCTGGGACTGCCAACAAGGCTTGTCAATCCTGGGACTACCAACAAGGCTTGGCAATTCTGGGATTGCCAACAAGGCTTGGCAATCCTGGGACTGCCATCTAAGCTTCTCAATCCTGGGACTGCCATCTAAGCTTGTCAATTCTGGGACTGCCATCTGAACTTGTCAATTCTGGGACTGCCATCTAAGCTTGTCAATTCTGGGACTGCCAACAAGGCTTGACCCTTCTGGGACTGCCATCTGAGCTTTGATGCCATTGCCATAACTTTGAGCTCAAATTTCTTGATGTTCAATTGTACTGTTCAGCTGTTCAATTGTACTAGTTTTCGAAAACTGGGGAAAGCTGGGGAAACCTTGGGAAAGCTTGGGAGAATCCAAGAGAGCTCAGGGTTTATCCAAGAGAGCGCCGAGCAGCTTTGGATTAGCTTTTGAATGGGATAAAGGGTAAATCTATATGAAATAATTGTAAATATCGATAGAAAATAGTCAAATAGAGATGAAATTCGCTTGATTTTAAGGCTATTTTGGATAAGTTTTTCAATAAAAGAGATTCCTTTTCGTAGAAATAGGCTATTAAGTTTATTTTTATCTAGATAACTCTAAATCTATAACAAAAAAAGGCCTAAAATAGATTAAAGACGTAATTTCATACATCTTAAAACTATTTACAAGTTTGTGAGCTAAAAGAGTTACCCCTTTCACGTCCGGCTGAGCGTCACAGCTCGTCGAACAGGTGAAAAGCTAAAGCGGAGGCTTTTGGGCGGTTTATAAACGCTGAAAAGCTGAAAAGCTATCATTTTATAAGCTGAATATCTATTTCTATTTATTTCTACTTATCAAATTCATCAAATACTTTCAGGTGGTTGCAGCCTCGTCCTCTCAAGTCGCACAAGTTTCCCAGTCATCTGTGCAACAAGTGACGCGACCTGTTGCTCAAAATCCTCCCCCACCACCGCCACAATCGATTACCCAACAAATTCAGGTGAGCAAAGATTTTAAAAGACATTTACTGTAATTATTCTAAAAGAAAAGCTATCTATAGAAGCGTCACGTAGTCTATTTCCTCTCAAACAAACGCTCAAATCTCGACACTGAGTTGACTCTCAAACAAACGCTTATAACTCGACACTAGTACGTTTGTTTCTGCTCACTTTGATATCAAATTAAAGTAGAAAGATAGGGGAATTGTTTCAACTATTACATGTATTTATAGCTTTAATCAGCGCTTAGAAAACGATGATTGAAAATGAGGAAAAATCGGATTTTTTTGCCACTTTTCAATCATTTTTTTCTAAGCGCTGGTTAATACTAAAAATATGTGTTATAGCTCAAAAAATAGCCTATCCTCTCTACTTTAATTTGATACCTAAGCGTGCAGAAATAAACGTAGTAGTGTCGAGTTATAAGCGTTTGTTTGAGAGTCAACTCAGTGTCGAGATTTGAGCGTTTTTTCTGAGGAAATAGACTACGCGACGCTTCTATAGAGGGCTGTTCTATAAGCTTTTCTATTTTTTTTCTTTTTATTTTCTATAGAAGGCTTTTCTATAAGCTTTTTTTCCCTTTTAAATCTTTCACATAATGATCTCACAAAAAGAAAAGAATCAAAAAGTTCGAATATTTCTTTAAAAGGAAAAAAAAGTTCTAAATAATTAGCTTAATGATAAGAGAAATTAGAGAAAATCACCTGTTCTTTAACATGTCAATCCTGGGACTGCCAACAAGCCTTGTTAATCCTTGGACTGCCAACAAGGCTTGTTAATCCTGGGACTGCCATCTAAGCTTTGATGGCATTGCCATAACTTTGAGCTCAAATTTCTTGATGTTCAGCTGTTCAATTGTAATAGTTTTCAAATCAGACAGCTCGACACCAAGAAATTTGAGCTTAAAGTCAGATTGGCAAAGGGGGCGGGGCCAAAAAGACCTTTTATACGCGCCCCGCCCCTTTTCCCATTCTATAAGCTTTTTTCCCTTTTAAATCTTTCACATAATGATCTCACAAAAAGAAAAGAATCAAAAAGTTCGAATATTTCTTTAAAAGGAAAAAAAGTTCAGCTTAATGATGAGAGAAATTAGAGAAAATCACCTGTTTCTCTAACATTTTTTCGCATTTTTCAGAATCTTCAATCAAATTCCAATCAGCAAACGATTCAAAACACGCCAATTTCTTCTGTTTTATCGGTGAGTTGTTTAAATCAGTTAGAGCGGAAAGGAAAACTAGAACTAAACTAGATAGTTTTTTTAAGCTAGATTATAGTAGTAAGCTTTTTATAATATCGAAATACCGTAATTTGATGTGTTTACATCGAAATCCACTAGAAATCTACTTCTTCTACTTTTCTTGGCAATTCCTTTATTTCTTGATTAGCTGAATATCTTTCTGTTTAGCTGAATATCTTTCTTGATTAGCTGAATATCTTTCTGATTAGCTGAATATCTTTCTGGTTAGCTGAATATCTTTCTGGTTAGCTGAAGATCTTTCTGGTTGGCTGAATATCTTTCTGATTGATATCTGATTGATATCTGATTGCTTCTCCTTTTCAGTTGCCCACAGTCCCACTCCAATCCTCCCTCCCACCCACTCTTCCATCATCGATGCGATCAGTAACAATGCGACTCAAGCGCAACGCGCCACATCAAAATCAAATCTCCCGACTATCATCTAAAGTTTGTTTTTTTTGGTTAGAAAATAGAAATATACTTGTAAAATAGTTTTAGTAGACTTTAAAGATGTTTTTTTTAGGTCAGAAGAGTTGAGGGACGACCGTCTGGCGATGCTGAACTCTCTCCGAATGAACCGCCGTCAACCTCACAAATCCAACGCACTCCATCCCTTGCACTCGGGCAAATGCAGGTAAGGGTTATTTTAAGAGAAAAGCTGTAGTTTTCTAGGAGAAAAACTGTAGTTTTCTAAGAGAAAGTACTGTAGAATACGAGGGATATTAACCGAAGACTTTTACTAAATCGTTTGAGGATTTATAGACCTTTGACTGTATAGATCTGTAGATTTTTGACTATAGTATAGCATCAGGGAGGCTTTATATTATAGCTGAATAGCTTTACTGAGTTGTAGCTATATTATAGCTATATTATAGCTGATTTTTGAAGCAAAAAGCAAAAGAATTGGCGGCTAGAGGAGGCGAACCCGTCCTCCCCCTTCCGGTCGTTTTAGAGACGAGCGCGTTAACCACTCGGCCATGCTCGTTAACCGGCCGAGCATGCCATGCAGGTGTTAAGGACTCGCGTTAACCGGCGGGGTTAACCACTCGCTCAGCATGACCGCTGACCACTAGTATATGGCGCAGTGCGAGCGCGCTTGTCTCTAGCCCACACGACCCGGGTTCGACTCCCGGCCGTGTCGGTTTTGGCTTTTAAATTTGGTTTTTTCAAAATTTAAAAACCTTTTCCATAACTACATGTAATTCTAAGTCAAACTAACTATAATTTATTTGAAACGGTCCTCTGGGGGCAGATGAATGGCTCGTACAGACAGACAGACAGACAAACAAACACAGCTCTTATATCTAGCTGAATATCTTTACTGAATCATAGCTAAACAGCTTATTGTCTTATAGCTGAATAGCTGTACTGTACTGTACGTTGTGTAAGTACTGTACGCTATATAAGTTATGAGTTCTGAGCTCTAGCGACAGTATGTCAAATTAAAATTAAGTTTAACGAAAGAACTAGACTTTTTAGCTAAAATACAGTAGATTTAGAACTATTTAGCTAACGAAAAATCAAAAGATTGTCGACACAAAGCCATCAAAACTATCTATTACCTTTTCAGCTGTGCACAAATTGCCAAGAGGGTGCCCGTGCTTGCATCGGCTGTGTCCCTTGCCATCACTGTGTCTATTGTCAACACCATCAAGCCGCCACTTCCACAAATCCATCAAATCTCCATCAACGATCACTCGCTCAACCGAATCCCATTGGATCTTCTCCACTTCTCCATTGCTCACACAACTCTTCCACTTCTACTTCACAAACGGTGCCCAGTCCAGTCGGTGTCCAACAAGTGCAACGGGATCAGGCTGCAGCCGCTTTGCAACAGGTTTGGTTATGATTTTTGCTACATCGGACTGAGTACAGTACAGATCCTCTAAAGTAAGCCTCTAGAGCTATAGGATTATTGTAGGTTTAGAGGATTAATATAGGCCTACTAAAGCTTTGGGTGATTACTCTAGCTCTGAAGATACTGCTTTCTTATTACTGTCACTCTAGAGGATTATTGTGGCTTTAGATAATTACTGTAGCTCTAAAGGATTACTGGAAGATTACTGTAGCTCTGAAGAGACTGCTAACCTCGCATTACTGTAGCTCTAGAGGATTACTGTAGGTCTAGAGGACTACTGTAACTCTAGAGGATTACTGTGGGTCTAGAGGATTTCTGTAGGTCTAGAGGATTCCTGTAGGTCTAGAGGATTCCTGTAACTCTAGAGGGCTACTGTAGTTCTAGAGGATTTCTGTAGGTCTAGAGGATTCCTATAGCTCTAGAGGATTACTGTAACTGTAGAGGATTCCTGTAACTCTAGAGGATTACTGTAGCTCCAGAGAACTACTGTAGCTCTAGAGAATTACTGTAGCTCTGGATTCCTATAAACTTGATTACCGCACCAAAAACCAAAACTCCTGTAACCCAAGAATTGCAGGCTCACGCGGCCGCAGCTAGTACGGCAGCCTCGCTACAAGAGCAAGCCTTATTACGCTATCGAACGCTGAACGAAGCGATCTGGACACGACAATTGTCAGCTTTTGACGCGACAACGAATGTGGCTGCTACACAAATGACCGCATCTCCAGCACAATTGTTGACCCCGTTTACCCTACGACAACTCTCACTCACCTCACAGCCATTGTTCGTCGTACCAAGGCCAGGGTTTCCGACATCGGTGAGTTGATTTTCTTCATCTATTTACTATTCGATACTATTCGATACTGTAAATCGTTGATTACTGTAGCTACGAGTTAGATAAGTAAGCTATAGTAAGCTATAAGTAAGCTATAAGTAAGCTATAGCTATTGGCCAGCTATAGTGAGCTATAGTAAGCTATAAGTAAGCTATAGCTATTGGCCAGCTATAGCTAAGCCTTAAGCCTAGAATTGAAGCTTTTTAAAGTCTATTTTTTGATTTGAGATTTCAGCAGTCTATTTTTTGATTTCAGCACTAAAGCACAAAAGCAATAGTCGAATTTTCAGATTCAAAATGCGACTCGTTTGGATGGATTTGTGTTGGCCACACTTCCCCCGGAATTCGTCGATGTTCGCCCGCTTGAGCGACAACATGCAACAACGGTTTTTGGTGGTCAACCTGTCGCTGAACCGCAACCCGTCGGCGCATCACTGGCTGACATTGAGAAATTCACTGAAAGGAATGAATTCGTCAAAGATGTCGAGGTGAAAATCAGCTTCAATTATTTGCATTTAATTATTTTCTTGAATTTATTTAATTAATTTAATTTCTTGACTCAATTTGAATACCGAAATTTCTAGGTACCTGAGAATGAGAAAGAGCGATGCACTGTTTGTTTAATGGAATTTGAGACGGGCGAAGGAGTGAGGAAGCTTCGATGCACACATCTCTTCCATGTTGATTGCATTGACAAGTTCGTTTTTTTCTTTTGATATTTGATAGGCTTAGGCTAAGCTTAGGCTAAGCTTAGGCTGGCTCAAGCTTAGACTAGGCTTAGACTAGGCTCAGGCTTAGACTAGGCTCAGGCTTAGACTCAGACTTAGGGCTTAGGTTTAGGTTTAGGCTCAGCTTCAGCAGAGCTTAGGGCTGACTGTAGATCAACTGTAAAGCCAGCATTGGTTTCCAGACTTGGTTTTGACTGGCACAGGTACTCTTCGTACTCTTTGTACCTGTGCCAGTCAAAACCAAGTCAGGAAACCAATGTTGGCTTTACTGTTGACCTAATGTACCTGGCTTTTGACTGTCAGTATACTTCAGTATACAAGAAATGTGGAAAGTGCCAGTCAAGACTGAGCTAAATCCTAGGTTTTAAGCTCTAGATTTCTAGGTTAAAGCCAAGACCAAGCTAATTCAAGTCTACGAATTTAAGGCTAGCTTTGGCTTGATAGGGTGCCGGCTAAGCCTAGGCCTAGGCTTAGATCTTAAGCTTAGGCTAGGTTCAATTAGGGACAGATTAAGTGCTTGTGTCAAGAGTATCAAGTCTGCTGGTCGATCGAGATCGAGATCGAGTGTTTAGCGAACAATCTACTGATTATCTAACATAATATAATTACAATATGATTCCAATATGATTCCAATATTCTTTAAAACAGATAGAACATTGATTCTCCTTTCAGATGGCTTGTCTACAACAAGAAATGTCCGGTTTGTCGTGTCGAGGTTGATTGCCCGGCAAAGACACTACTCGTCTAATCAAAACTTGAAGAAAGAACCCTTTATTCCTTCAAAAAGCACACTTCAATGCTTCTGTGATATTCAGAAAACATTTTTTAAAGCTATGAAATGATGAAAATCTAGGCTAGCCAATTGTTATTTCATTCTTTGTGATTTCTCTCGCTTTTTTTCTCTTCAACGCCTTTCCGCTGAGAATTTTGCTAGATTTCTCTTCTATTTCTTTTTTTCTCATTTTATCCGGTATCGCTTAAATTAGCAGCTTTTTCAATACCGTATTCTTTGAATAGATTTAGGTTACTGCAGCCTTCAATTACTCTACTTGATTACTCTAGAGACTAGAGTAATAGTCTAGTCTCTAGAGTAAGCAGTCTAGAGTTACGAGTTCGAGAGCTCGAGAGTTCAAGAGTTCAAGAGTTCCAGAGTCCAAGAGTTCCAGAGTTCGAGAGTTCAGGAGTTCGAAAGCTCGAGAGTTCAAGAGTTCGAGAGTTCGAGAATCCGTAGCTGTACAGATTACAGTCAAAACTGAAACCTATTTACTTACAAAAAAGCTGTCTATTCAAAGATTACGGTACAAGAGATGCACAAATTCGAACAAGATCAAGAATTCTTCAAAAGTTGACCAAAATCAAACAGGATCTTGGCTAAGGCTTAGGCTTAGGCTCAGGCTTAGGCTCAGGCTCAGGCTTAGGCTTAGGCTCAGACTTAGGTCCAGGCTAAGGCTCAGGCTCAGGCTTAGACTTAGGCTTAGGTTTAGGCTTAGGTCCAGGCTCAGGCTCAGGCTAAGGCTCAGGCTCAGGCTTAGGACCAAAATGAAACAAGATCTTCGCTAAAATTTGTGCATTTTTTCAAAAAAACAAACATTTAAGAATGTTATCTATCAAAAATTCTTAAAAATTCAAAAATTATCCGAAATTTTATGCTGCCATATGCTACAAAAAACTGTTTTCGTTTTTCTTTTCAAATTCCCATCGAAAAAGAGCAACTTTTAAAGTGAGAATGGGTTGAATACCGTAAAATGGTCGGTATCCATTCATTTTTTTTTGTTTTTTGTTTTCTAGCAGGGTTGCTCTTCCGCTTAGAGATACTCAATTGTGCTCCGCTTGAAAATTTTCTAAATTTTCTAAATCTTTTATTCTCGAAAATCCCGATCCTATGCTCGTTTTCTAAAAGATGGAGAAAGCTACCGTATTCTATTGTAAGATGTTAGATGTTAGATGTTAGATGTAGGATGTTAGATGTAGGATTTGGTGAAAACTATCGTAATACCTATAGAAAAGCTACTGTACTCTATCGTTAGGCGATCTTTTAGTCAAAACTGCAGTAGCTACAGTAATACTTGTAGAAAAGCTACCGTATTCTTGGCCTTTACTAGCCTATTGGGATTACGGTAGCTTATTGGGTTTACGGTGGCTTATTGGGTTTACGGTAGCCTACCGGGATTACGGTAGCTTATTGAGATTACTTAATAGACATGGTTTTTTGGCAAAATCAGATTGAATCGGGTTAGCCTGATTGGTCGGATCTCTTGATCGGATTGGATCGGGTTAGCCTGATTGGTCGGATGGATCAGATCGGATCGGGCTAGCTCGATTGATCGGATCTATCTGATCGGATTGGATCGGGTTAGCCTGATTGGTCGGATGGATCAGATCGGATCGGGCTAGCTCGATTGATCGGATCTATCTGATCGGATTGGATCGGGTTAGCCTGATTGGTCGGATGGATCAGATTGAATCGGGTTAGCCTGATTGGTCGGATGGATCAGATTGAATCGGGTTAGCCTGATTGGTCGGATAAATCAGATCGGATCGGGCTAGCTCGATTGGTCGGATTGGATCGACCTAGCCTGATTGGTCGGATCTATCGGATCAGATTGGATCGGCTTCGATCGGGTTAGCCGACGGATCTGATTGGGCTAGCCCGTCCGGTTGAATGGATCGGATCGGTCCTGATTCGATCAGATCCAATAAATCCCAATCCAATAAATCCTAATCCAATAAACCCTGATCCAATAAATCCCGATCCGACAACCATGTCTATAACTTAGTCTCTAGGATACGTTAGTTTTTTGGATTACGGTAACTTACTGGTCCCAAATCCTGGTCTGGATTACAGTGACTTAAAGCCTACGAGGATATGGCAGCTTGCTACAGAGCGTATAAATTACAGTAGCTTTCTTACTGCTATTACGTTGACTTACTCAGATCAGCTATTACGATAACTTACTAGAATTACGGTAGCTATTAAGATTCCTTTTCCTGGCGTACCTTTTAGAAAACGATGCATCACCGAATTTTCCCAAATCCTGGTCGTGTTTTCCGTTTCTCTTGTGATTTTCCTCGTTTTTTTTTTTTTTTCATTGCTAGACAAATATTTCAATTGAGGTTATTCAATGTTTTCTTTTTTGTTTAATGTCCAAAACTTTGTTTAGAATTGAAAGGACATTTAGACAAAAATTGATCGATCTGTGCGTTATCTTGAACCTCAAACAGTTTTAATAAATTCGTTTTGCTATATGAAACTTGGAAGAGCACAAAATTAGACAAAAGTTAGACAAAAAAGACAAAAATTGGACCAGAATGACAAAAATTAGACAAAAATGAGACAAAAATGACAAAAATGAGACAAAGGTCAAACAAAATGCAGAGTTTGGGGTGCGACCCGCTTTAGCCTTATCAACGAGGATGATTCTGCTTAAGAATGGCCGAATAGCACAAAAGGTTAAAAAGGATTTCCCCAAAAGCGCTTACAACGTAACAAGAACACGTAGTATCCAACATAAGATTAATACTCTTGAGAAGAGTACAGATCCGATTGATACTACGTCGATGGTGACACAAATGTTAGTAAGCTCTCTCTCTACAATGTTAAACCAGTTATCTAAACAGGATTTAAAACCTGAAGGGTAGCATAAAGTAAAGTGAATTTTATAACGTTACTGTTTATTAGTACAGTACAGTTTATTAGTACAGAACCGAAATGCAACAATACCCATTACAAAAACAGCATGCGCACCAAAAATGAAACAACAAAATCCCCCAAGAAAGAAGGCAAAAACCCGCAGACCAAAAAAAATCATTTCGGGAAGCGAGAAAAAAGACGAAAAATGCGACGCGAATAATTGCAAAATAGCAACGCAAATAGGAAGGAAACGGACGCGACCGCAGTACAGAGTTACATTTCGCTAAATATCCTGAATATCATGAATATCCACCCATAAAAAGAATGTCCGTTAAACAGGGTTCATAGCGCATAAGACCTCCCCTCAAGATGACGACGAGTTTTACCTGTGCCGTCTCTAATTTTGTCATTGGAGATTTATCATCTTGGGACAGTTCTAACGACATGTCGAAACTCCAAAGAATCTTGCCACTTCAAGAATTCGACTTCGAAAGAATTCAAATTCGACTAGAGAAAAGTGCAATTTGTTTTGTATCTATAGAACTGCATTTTCATAGAACCGCTCATAGGTTCATAGCGCATAAGACCTCCCCCCAAGATGCACAGGTGAAATCGATAGCCGTAACAGCACCAAAATTCCGCTGAATACCCTGGCGAGTCGAATTGGTCATCCATTGCGTTATCTTGAACCTCAAACAGTTTTAATCAATTCATTTTGCTATATGAAACTTGAAAGAGCACAAAATTAGACAAAAGAGACAAAAATTAGACAAAAAAGAAAAATTAGACAAAAAAAGACAAAAATCACACAAAGATCAAACAAAATGCAGTACAGAGGCACATTTCTTTCTAAAAGTCAACCCATTTTAGAGAAACTACCGTAATCTGCCTGTAATTTTCATCGATTAGACCAATTTAACCCATCGATTAGCCCGATTAGCCCGATTAGGCCAATTAGGCCGAGCGGAGCCGAGCGGGGCCGAGCGATTTGTGGAATTGGTTAAAATGTTTATTGTGATGGGCTGGATGGGGCATGCCTTATTATGTTCAGGATAAATTGTCCAAAACCTCAAACCAAGCCTTGTGCGCATGGACTAGTGCCATCGGGTTACCAAATACACTTTAGCAAAAGCCATTTTCTAAAGCGTACGGTTCCAATACGGTTACATTACGGTTCCTATTTTGATTTAATACGGTATTTAGTCTAGATTGGGGTATTCAGTCTTGATTAGTGTATTCAGTCTTGATTAGGGTATTCAGTCTTGATTAGGGTATTCAGTCTTGATTAGTGTATTCAGTGAGATTCTCTGGATTACGGTATTCAGTCTAAATTAGGGTATAACCAATACGGTCCCAATACGGTTCCTATTTTGATCTAATACGACATTATATCCACATTTTAGAAACAACGTTAACACATTGACGACAAGGAATCAAAGAATGAAAAGCCAAATCCCCAGAAATCTGCACATTAGGCCTTAAAATACTCTACAGAGTGGTTCAAAATTATAGCAACTCGACATTTTCTGTCTAACTTGATAACTTGATAGTCATCCATACTCTTTTCGATGTTTTTAAATTGAAAATAACATGAGTTCCTACGGCAGAAAGGTTGCTTTTGGTTGGAAACGTTTTTTTTTGTTAATTTTATATGATTCTTTAGAGTTGAGACGCACTAATCACCCCGTCGACTCTACCATTTTCGCTAGTAGGAGACATCCTTGGGCATTTATTGAGTCTTTGATGTAGGAGAGCATTTCATTTGACGACTATCATCTCCCGCAATGTTGTAGAGCTTCTAGTGGGGTCGAGTCGCTTCAGAAGTCGCTCCTCCAGCCAGGAGAGAGTGAAGAGAGAGATTTGAAGTGAAGAGACAGCCAACCCAGCGATTTAAAGAGGTTTAAGAGGTCGTTGTCGTTTGTAAAAATAAAGTAAAAGAAGAAAATATAGGAAGAGAGGGGCGAGCGCGGTCGAACGGGGCCAAGCGGGGCCAAGGGGCCAAATGGGCCCGAGCACGGCCGGCTTTACACTCTATCCACCGCAAAATAAAGCACTGAATATGTTTAAAAGCGATTACGCTTCTTCTGTTTCCTATTATGCATTAAATGGTACTG